GTGAAGGTAAGTGTACATGACTGTATGCTAGAAAATAATTTTTTGTTTGTTTGTTTAGGAATGAATAGTTTTTTTTTCTTTTCCCCTTTCTTTTTAGTTTTACACTGTTTGATTGTGTGTTTGTTGGGAGGAGGTTTGTGGAGGTCAGAGAACACCTTGGGGCACTCAGCTCTCTCCCTCCACCATGTAGGACCTGGGGAATTGAACTCAGGTCCTTGGACTTCGTGGCAAGTGCCTTTAGCTTCTGAGCCATCCTGCCTGACTTTCTCATTTTGTAACAGACTCTTATGTAGCCCAGGCTGGCCAGGAACTCCATACCTATCACCGGATGACTTCAAACTCCTGATCAGGGATACAGGAATTACAGGAATTCACGCCCAGCTTTGTTTGACATGGTCATCTCGCTATATAGCCATGGCTAACCTGGAATTCACTACGTACATCTTAGGCCAGCTTTAGATTCACAGCAACCTTCCCGCCTCAGCCTGAGTGGTGGAGTGATGTGATTATGAAGGTTTACACCATAAAGCCAGGCTTCTCTGCAAAGCAGAGAGCTGAGGCCCAGAGGAGTTAAAGAAACCCTTAAAACACACAGCTTAGAAATAAAGCGGGGAAGGAAGATTTGGTTGACGTTGTTATGACTCCCCAGTCCCGGCTAAGCTTGCCTGAAGTCTCTACTCTCAAATGTACCCTGTGCCGGGGACCCAGTACCTTTCTGACGGTGAGTAACCAGCAGGACGCGGCCGAAGCGGCCCTGGCCCAAGGGCCGCACTTCCTCGTACAGTTCCTCCACCTCAGTGCGGACCAGGGTCTGGGCACTCAGAGCCATCATGTCCTCCAAGGCCAGAGCAGTTTCCTGGCCTTGCTGCAGCTCCTCTACCGTGAGCCCCCCCAGGCCTTCGTCACCGCCATCCTCCACAGCTGCCACTTCCCTCTGCCCATCTTCTGACTGTTTGCCTGGCATTTCTGCAAGACAGACAAAGAAGGGGATCCAGGACTCAGAGGTCACTAGCCTATGCCCAGTGGAGGGAGAGCAAGAAAACCAGACTTCTGGGTCTGAGGGAGGAGGATAGGGTCTGGAATCCTAGGTCTGAGGGAGTCAGGACCCATGGGTCCGAGTGAAGAGGGTTGGGGTCTGAAGAAGTCTGGACCTGGACTGAGGCCTGATTGCCAGTTCTCACTGTGACTCAGTTCCATCCTGCGAGACCCCGAGGAGTGGAAAACAGTCACTGGTGTAAGGTGAGGTCAGTCGAGAGGTCAGGTGCTGGGCTGGTGAAATGGCTCAGGGGTTAAGAGCACTGACTGCTCCTCCAGAGGACCCAGGTTCAATTCCCAGCACCCACATGGCAGCTCTTCTGTCTATAATTCCAGTTCCAGAGAATCTGACATCGGCATGAAATAAAAGTTAAATAAAGTTTAAAAAAAAAAGAGAGAGAGGTCAGGTGCCCCCCCCCCATTCCCACTGCCACCTGGTGGCCCGAGGGTGAAAGATGAACCAAGCCATTGAGACATCCCCCCCCCTCCCCATCTTGTTTCCAAAGCAAACAGACTTGGGCCCAAGTGGATGAGAAGCTCCCTCCACAGAGCAAACAGGTGCTCTCTGCCTCCAGGGAAGGGTGGGGCCCTACACTGCTTGAGACACCAGAGTCCTGCCGGGAGCTGTCACTTGGACCTGTCCCCAGTTCTTCAACCCTCAATCATGCTGTGGTCCAAGTCTCACAGCCCAGCAGCCCTCCCCGAGACCTGGGGTTCTAGACCCCAGATTCCCTCCTAGAAATATAGACCCCAGCCTTTCTCCTTCACATCCAAGGTTCAGATCCCATCCATCTACCCTCAGATCCAGGGTCCCTGACCCCAGCTCTCCTCCCTCAGACCCAGGAGTCCAGTCCTAAGTCCTCCTCCCTGAGACCTAAGGGTCCAAACCATATCTTATTACTGTCCCAGGAACTTCTATAACTCACACGACTTGGGTGTTTGGACCCCAACACTCAAGTACCCGATTGCTTCAAGGTGTTTCTTGTCCTGTTGAGGGTCCAAGACTCTTTCCACCCGTTTTCCTGTTCAACTGCAGCCTGCCTCAAACCGGTTAACCTTGCCCTGCTTCTGACCTGAGCTGAGCGTTGCAGACCTCACCTCTTTCAAGGCTTGTCTGACCCCTTTTTTCTGCCTACTGCGGTTAGTGCCCTGCACTTCAGGGCTCCTGACAGTATCGGTTTGCCCAGGAACAAACAAGTTCCGCCCCCACCTTGGGGGGTCGTAAAGCCCCACCCTCTGCCCCGCCCCTTCTGGCCCCCTCTTGGGGCAGAGCGACACCGTGTGTTGAATCTTAGTACTGGCTGTAGTTGGACAACCGCCCCAGATGGGGGGTAGGGGGGCTCAGCTTTCCTTCCTAGGACTCAGGAGTCCAGGCAGCTCTCCCCTCTCAGACCCAGAAATCCAGACTTCAGCCTCCTTCCTCACTTTTAGGGTCCACCCTCTAGCCTTTCTTCCTTCGTGGAGGAGTCTGGAATGCAGCCCTCCTACCGGACACCGGGGTCTAGGTCCCATCTTTTCTCTCCCGTATCCAAGCTCTTAGCCCTCCTCCCTCAGATCCAAGGGTCCGGGCAGCCTTCCTCTCTCAAGTCCGGAACTCTAGACCCCAACCCTCTTCCCTCAGATTCGAGCTTCAGACCCCACCCCTTCTTCCTCAGACTCAGGAGAGTCCCCACCCCATCTATTTACCCTCAGATTCAAGATCCCAGACCCCAGGCATCTTCCCTCAGGCCCAGAACCCCGGCACCTAAACTGCCTTTCTCAAACCCAGGGATCCAGCCCTCCCTCCCACCATCCAGGAGACTAGGTACTAGACCTCTTCTCTCTGACCCAGGGATGCGAATCCTAGCCCTCTTCCTTCACATCTAGGGGTGCAGACCATAGCCTCCTCCCTCACACAGCCCCATCTTTCCTTTAACCTGGCCCCATCTGGTCTACTCCCCAGCTCCTGCCTCTGCTGCCCCACTGATAGACACAAATCTTCCCAGAGGTATGTCCAGAAGCCCAGACACTAGGGTTCTGTTTGGGGATAAAATGAGACAGGATTCTAAAATGATGTCATGAGAAATGACCTCAGACGAGGGGCCAGAAACAGGTGGTGGAGCAACTGGGGATCACGGGTGACTTTCCCCCTTTCTCCGGGACAGCTGCGCTGTCTGCTGGGTTTAAGGCACCGAGGATGACGTGGATTCCTTTCGTAGTCCAAAGGCACTTTTTATTGTGTAAATGTTCTCAGTTTTACAAAAACAGTTGCAAAGGTCACACAGTTGCAAAGGTCCCTTGAACCCCTGACCTGGCTTCCCCCGAGATCAGCATCTCACCCAACATTTGTGCTAAGTTAGTTATGTTTCCAACAACAGTCGTCCTGTCTACCCTCATTGCCTTCAAGGTCCCTTTCCTGTCCCTAGGTCCAGGCTGGGGGGCACCGTAGTGCATTTAGTGAACTCACTGTTAAATCTAGAAAGTGTACCTCTCTGGGCTGAGGATGTAGATCTGTTTGCAGTGTTTGTGTGACCTGCACAAAGCTTTGGAATTCTGCTCAAACCTCCAGTGCTGTATAAATTGTCCTGATGGTGTGGGCCGTAATTTCATCATTTGGGAGGTGGAGGTAGGAGGGTCAGAAGTTCAAGGTCACCCTCTGCTAGTGAGTGGACATCCTGGCATACAGGAGAACCTGATGTTTTAAGTATAAATTCCTGGGATGTTTATAGGTCCTGCCCCTCTGCCAGGTGCTGGGGACTTGAGGCACACTGAGCTGGGGTCTGTGTGCTGTCTGAGAGAGAGGAAGAGCCATGGAACCAGTCCTGGCTCTTATGATTGGTGGGTCCCTGAACAAAGATGGAGCTGGGACAGTCGGAGCCAGATTACTTGGGGCTTTGTGGAAACAGAAACTGGAAGTGTCTGGAAGTGAGATAAAAGCAAGCACAGCCCAGAAATTTGTGATGGTGGGTGGAGGTGGGGAGAATAGACAAGATGGCTGGGGTGGGGACCTGTTTCGGTAGGCCAAGATGGAAGTAAAATGTGCCTGGTGGAGCATGTAAGGTGACTGAGTGATGCTGGCAGTGATGTGTGTGTGTAGCTAACTTCAGGATACATAAATGGTTCCCACAACGCTACCAACACAGAGCCCAGGAAATGCTAGACCAATATAATATCGGATCCTATATATTCAGATATTGTGCCCCTGTTGGTGGGAGCCACCCATGGTCTCAAAGAAGAGTGGTCCCATCAGAATTCATGAAAAGCATTCAGTGTTTCGGGGTACAGAATTATAATTGCAGGAGAAACAGAGACTTTCATCAGGAAGATGCTCAGGGCCTGGGGATGAGCCTCATTTGATAGAGGGCCTGCCTGGCCTGCAGGAAGCCCCAGAGTTCCATCTCTGCCCAGCACCTCAAAAACAGCACGGAGATGCATGCCTGTAATCCCAGCACTGGGGAGATGGAAGCCAGAGGGTCAGAGTTCAAGGTCAGCTACATAGTGGTTTGGGGCCAGCGTGGGACACACAAGACTGTCTCAGAAGAAAAATCGGAATGAGAAGGGGAGAAGGAGAAGGAAGGATGATGAGGAGAGAAGAGAGGAGGAGGAGAAGGGGAGGAAAGAGAGCGCAAGACAGAAAAGAAGATGAAAACAAAGATGGAGTGGGGAGGAGAGGAAGAGGGGAGGAGAGGAAGAGGGGAGGAGAGGAAGAGGGGAGGAGAGGAAGAGGGGAGGAGAGGAAGAGGGGAGGAGGGGAAGAAGGGAGGAGGGGAGGAGACCACAGCAACAGTGGCACACACTCTGGACTCCCGAGTCCTCAGTTGTGTGTGTGTGTGTGCATTACAGGGAGCAGGGATTCCACATCCAAGTCCAGCCTCCTCCACAAGGGAAAAGTGAAGTGTGTTCCTCCCTGTCTTTCCCAGGTGGCCCCACGCTGGGTTAGGAGACTAGCCAAGGTTCTGTTCTGACCTCCTCTCTCCGTCACCTGGTCAGGAACCTCTGCTGTCCGTCCCTGTCCTCCCACCCTCTTTAATTTCATCTTCCTCCTCCTCCTCTGTCCACTCTTCCAAACTCGATCCCCCCTCATCTTCTTCCCCATCCTCATAGGACACACCCCCCAAGCTTCCAGCTCCCTCTCCACTCCCCCGCAACCCCCAGTCATCCCCTAAGACATTCAGGACTGCCAGTGGAGGGCTCCTAGTCTCAGGATCCAGGTCTAGAAGTCCCTGGAGCAAGGTCAGAGCCGGGGGTGCAAACTGGTCCCAGGGTGCCGGTGGCCGAGGGGGCTGGGGCTTGGTGGTCATCCAGCCGGCAAAGGCCTCGAACTCAGGATCGGGGGCCAATGCTACATCCCAAGGGAAACAGGCTGTGGCAGCACAGAAGAGAAGCACGCCCAGGGCCCAGGAGTCCACAGCCGGTCGCAAAGGCAGGGTGTTCGGAGGCAGCAGGAGGCAGAGTTCAGGTGGTGCAGTGGGCAAAGGCCCTGGTGGGGCAGGAGTTGGGCTGCCCTCAGGTCGGGTCAAACCCAAGTCACCTAGGGCTACTCTGTTGCAGTCAGGATCGAAGACTAGCACATTGTCCGGCTTGACGTCCGCGTGCACTAGCCCCCGGCCATGGAGGAAGTCCAGGGCTCCAGCCACCTGGGCCAGGACCCTCTTCACCATCCGCTCTGGGAGGCCCTGAGGTTGGGGAGAAAGGAAAAAGGACTTGCTGTTTGTTTCATCATCCTGGACATGTTCTTGATTTCTAAAGGCTCTGACTCTTGAGATTTAAGAGTCCAGGACCCAGGGTCCCCAGAGCCATCCAATATCTCCACAAACACGCCAAGTTCGGCAGACCAGCCACCATTTATGGCTCCTTCCACTCACCCCAACAGAGTCCCACTTCTCATCAGAACTTGTTTCTCCCTGTCTTTCTCTGTGCCTCTCCATGTCTCTCTGTCTCTGTCTCTCTCTCTGACACAGGGTTTTGGGTAGACCAGACCGGCCTCAAATTCACCTCGTAGCTGAGGGTCACCTGCCTCCACCTGCCCTGTGCTGGAATCACTGGAATGTACCAATGTCCCTGGTTTACAATGCGCTGGGAATCAAACCCTGGGCTTTATGCATGCCAGATGAGTTCTCTACCACTGAACTACAGCCCCAGAAGATCTCTCAAAGTTCCTCCTGATTCTAAAACTCTCAAACTCTCTCTCTCCTTCCCTCCTTTCTGTAGTGTGTGTGTGTGTTATTTTGGTTCTTGGAGACAGGGTCTCACTATGTAGACCAGGCTGGCCTTGAACTCATAGAGATCCACCTGCCTCTGCTTCCCAAGTGTAGTAAAGGTCTCAGTGAGAATCCAAACCCCTTAGTTAAGCCTGGTCTTAGTCCTATATTGACGCAGAACTCATCTCTAACTCAGACTGTCCTAATAAAGTCTATCTTACTGGCCAGTCACACCTCCACCCAACAGTGTTGAATCACGACCCCACCTCACACCCACTCCGCATTCAGGCAGCAACCCGATTATTCTGTTATCGTATCCAGCACTCACCCTCTTTATCTTCCTTCCATTCACTTTATCTACACACTCACCCACTATCCACCCACGCACCTATCCATACATCCGGTTAGTCATGCAATCATCCATACACCTGGCCATCCATACAACTAGCCAACCATACAACCAGCCAACCATGCAGACATCCATACAACCAGCCAACCATACAACCAGCCAAACATGCAGACATCCATACAACCAGCCAACCATGCAGACATCCATACAACAAGCCAACCATGCAGACATCCATACAACCAGCCAACCATACAACCAGCCAAACATGCAGACATCCATACAACCAGCCAACCATGCAGACATCCATACAACCAGCCAACCATGCAGACATCCATACAACCAGCCAACCATACAACCAGCCAACCATGCAGACATCCATACAACAAGCCAACCATGCAGACATCCATACAACCAGCCAACCATGCAGCCATCCATACAACAAACCAACCATGCAGACATCCATACAACCAGCCAACCATGCAGACATCCATACAACCAGCCAACCATGTAGCCATCCATACAACTAGCCAACCATGCAGACATCCATACAACTAGTCAACCAAGCAGACATCCATACAACTAGCCAACCATGCAGACATCCATACAACTAGTCAAACATGAAGACCTCCATACAACAAACCAACCATGCAGACATCCATACAACCAGCCAACCTTGCAGCTATCCATATAACTAGCCAATCACGCAGCCATCTATACATTCATACATGCATCCATCCGTCCATCCATGCATCTTACTAACCATGCAGTTATGCGTGTATACAACTATCCACGTAGCCATCCATGCAGTTGTCTATTTGTTTATCTATGCACCCACACAGCTGTCCATCCATCCATGAATCCACCCATCTACACATCAAACTAGCCATCCAGCTGTCCATCCATGCATGTACGCACTCACCATCCACTCATCGATTCATGAATGCATGCATGCATCCACCCAACTCCCCACTTATCTTCCCTCCCTTCTCCCTCTCATCCTTCCCTTACCCCAATTCTATCTCAAACCCAAAATGCCACCCCTTTAATATCGCCACGTACCCTATCTCCAACACAAGAGGGACTCGACTCTCCTGGATTCAGTCCTGACCTAGAATCCTTTCTAGAGGAAACCCCATTTGAAACCGACCCAAGCTGACCTGCAGACACAGCCTGTGCCCATCTGCCCTTGTCACATTATTGTCCCGAATTTCCTCCTCTACAACCATGGCCACCTAAGACCAACCATAAACCCTTCCATCCCACCCATCCATTTCCACCTCCCAATCCCCATGCCAGCTGGAGCCTCAAATCTGTCTCCTCTCCACCCCAAGTAGCTGCAATCCATCCTAACACCGACCCAGCCAACTCTTCCAAGCTTGTGTTTGGTGATCATTAGATCAGTGTTGGGATCAGGTAGGCAGCTGTGTTAGGACTTAGAAATGGGGGGGGTCATTTGGGGGTCTCAGAGTGATCTCAATGGGGTACTGATTTGGGGTTAGGGACTGAGAGGGACCTGAGCAGTCCTATCCAGTCTTGCCTTTTCCTGGAGCATTCCGCTGAGGTCCCCACAGGGTGCATACTCCTGGGCAAAGGCAAAATGTCGGGGTGTCTGCAAGGGCCATCCCAGGGTCTGCAGCAGGCCTGGGTGTGAAGAGACGCAGCGGCCCACACAGAATTCTCTCAGGAACGTTGTTCTCAGGACTGAGTCCCGCCGGAGGAGCTTAAGGGCCACGGTTTGACCTATCAGAAAGATGGGCTCAGATGAGAACCCGTGACACCCTGGTCATGCTGTGGGGCCTTCGGCAAACCACTTAACCTCTTGGAGCCTGAGAAGTCGCATGTGAAAATCAAGTGTCTCCACCTGTGATGTGTGGGTCAGAACTAGACCTTCCCTTGTGTCCCTCCTGTTCTGCCTTGGACTGCTGTGTTGCCTTGTATAACTGCCTTCCCCTCTCTGGTCCTCCATTCCCTATAACATAAAGGGACATGGTGTTGGCATGAATTTCAGTTCAGTTTGCTTGCCTGCCTTGCTGTGTGATGTGTGACCTGGAGTCGGCCACTTGCTGTCTCTGGGTGGCCTATGTCTCTCAGAAGATTGTAGAGCTCTGTACTTTCCGAGTTCCCACCAGGTCTGGCTTATCTCAGAGATGGCTCATGATGGGAGAATGTGAAGTCCACCCCTGGTGATTGAACTCACCCCCTTGGCGAGGCTGGGCTAGGAGCACTCGGCCGTAGGAACCGGAACCCAGCTTCCGGATGAGACGGTACTGGACACGCAGGCTTCTCACGGATGCCACCTTGCTGGCTGTCAGCTCTACGAGTCGCTGGAGGGCCATAGCTGTGTCCTCCTGCAGGGAGAAGGAATGGGATGGTTGAGGGGCACATCTGGGGTCTCTCTGAACAACGGGAAAGATCAGAGGCCAAGCCCAGAACCAAGCTGCGGATGCAGGGACAGGGGTCACTGTCCCTAGGGAGAAGGATGAGTCACAGTGAGTCACCCAGCCTGGGGACACCTGTTTTTGTGTCCTAGCAAAGTTAGGGGTCTTGGTCTCAGAGGCTTTGTCTGCCCCCGCCTGAGGGAGGCAGCCAGAACCCCAACCCCAACCATGGATCCGTGCTGAGCCCAAGGGACCCTTCATCCTCTCTCCCTTGCGTTCTGATCTTTGTGTTCTGATCCCAGAGAGTGATCAATTGGGTCTACGCTGCTGCCCCTCCCTGAACCTGGGCTTCCAGCTCTCTCTCTTCTCTCTCTTCTCTTGTCTGTGTTCTCTCTGTCTATCCGTCTCCCTTCTGTCCCCTCTCACCTCTGCATCCCCATCCTCAGGGGTCTCGAGGGCCCTGAGCTCCATCTCAGGTTGCCTGGTGTCAGCTGACCCTGGTAGGCACCCCTTATCTAGACTCCCCAAGGAGGAAGCAGCCTGAGGGACCCTCTGCACCCCACAGGTCCTTCCCCAGCCGAGTGTGGGGAAGCTGTGGGAGGACTGCCTTGGTGTCACTGTCTGAAACAATCTTCTGGCGCCTGAGAATTCCCAGACTCCCTTTTCTTCTTCCTGTCACCTACTAGGGAGTGTCGCCTTCTGCTGTCTTATTTCTTTTGAATCTTCTCACCCTTCTATCCCCTCTCTACAACCTATGGCAGTCTTTCTTTCCTTCTGAATCTCTCTCCTCCTCCTCCTCCTCCTCCTCTTCCTCCTCCTTCTCTCTCTTCTCCCTCTTTTGTGTCTTTGTTCCTCCTTTTCTCTCCCTCTCTCCCTCTCCCCCTCTTGTGTCTTTGTTCTCTCTCTCTCTCTCTCTCTCTCTCTCTCTCTCTCCCTCTTGTGTCTTTGTTCCTCCTTCTATCTCTCTCAATCTTTTTTTCACCCTCCGAGCGTATCTGATTCTATTTTTTTCGCCTGTTTCTTTTCCCACCACCCTCTTCCTCCCTCCCCCTGTTTCTTCCCAGGGTGCTCTCCCTCTCTCTACCCTGCCTCTGTTTGCTGGGACCTCTGACTTCCCTATACACTCTTCCCCCACTTGTCAACCGAGTCTGCCCATGGGACGTTCCCACTCTCTCTCCTCTGCCTCCCCTTCTCTCTGACTCTCTTGGACTGTCTCTGGGTCTCTCTTTGTTCTGTTTCTCTGAGCCTTTTGTCCTTCCCTTTCTCTGGGCTGAGGTGTGTGTGTGTGTGACAGCTCAGAGACAGAGACATCCTGTCCCCCCTACACGCCTCCCTCACCCCCCTGACTCTCTGTCCCCTCCCTCCCTCTTCCAAACTTAGACCAGCTTGGACTCTGGGCGCTGGTCCCAGGACAGAGGGGACGAAACATATTGTGAACCCCCAAGAGCCAGGCTGAGAGCAGAAGAAAAAGGAAGGTAGACTCATTCAAAGCTAGCAGGGGTAACTAGTCCAGGGCTTGGACCTTCCTTTAGGGCCTGGGAGTATCGAAGGCCAGAAGCTAGCACTGTTCCCACAGCCCTGCTCCTAAACACCAAGCCTAAGCCGCAGCCTGCCTTAAACATGTGAGTCCAAAACTTAACCCTCCCTCCCCAGATCCAGGAGTCCAGGTCCCCTAGACCCAGGAATCGAGACCCTCAACCCTCCATTCTCAAACTGGGTCACCCTGACCTCAGCCCTCTTCCTCAGACTTAGGAGTCTAGACCCCAGTTCTTCACACCCAGACCTAGGGCTCCACATTCCAGCCTCTCCTCCCTCAGACCCAGGGGTCTAGACTCCAGACCTACTCCTACATAGCCAGGAATCCAGATCCCAGCCTCTCTTCCCTCAGACTCCGGAGTCCAAGTACCATCCTTCCTTTCTCAGACCCAAAGGTCTCCTCCAAACTTCAGCCTCTCCTCCCTCAGACCTAGAACTACTCCCACATAGCCAGGAATCCAGATCTCAGCCTCTCTTCCCTCAGACTCCGGGGTCCAAGTACCATCTTTCCTTTCTCAGACACAAAGGACTCCTCCAAACCCCAGCCCTCCTTCCTAGACCCAGCGGTCCACCTTCATCCCCCCTCTAGAGACAGGGGAGCAGAGGTTGCTGGGGGTACAGTGGGTCATAGTATCTCTCTGCGTTCCACAACCCGCCCTAACCCTGGTCGGAGCAGGGGCTTTACATTGCTCCCTCCCAGCTGTCCACAGCGCCAGGCTTTGTCCCCAGCCTGTAGAGCAGGAAACTGAGGTTCCGAGAGCAGCATCGCCTTACACCAAGTCAGAGGGCGCCAGGTTCGTGCCAGGCCTGGGTGACTCACAACCCTGACGTGGGCATCACTCAAGTTTCCACTACTACTACAGCTGGCTATTAATATAGACACAACACAGCTCTCCGAGGCTCTGGAAGGATCCCCAGGAAACTGGCTGAGGTGATTGCCCCTGAGGAGCCTGACTGGGCTGAAGTAGAGTTTCCTTTGATCTTTGTCTTTTTCGTGTTCCATTACGGAAAGCAGCAAAGGCATAGAAAGATCTCCAAGGGGCTGGGGAGATGGATCACCAGGTAAAGGGACTTGCCACCAAATTTGACAACTAGTCTTCAACCCCTGGAACCAGTTTGGTGAAGGGACAGAACTGACCCTCACAGGTGGGCCTCTGACCTCAATACATGAGCTGGGGAATGTGTATACACACACACACACACACACACACACACACACACAAACAAACAACAGCCATAAAATTAATAAATACAAAATACTCCAGTAAAACCAGATGTTGTGGTGCATGCCTGTAATCCCAGCACTCAGGAGGCTGAGTCAGGAGGACTGTGATCTGGAGATGGTTGTCCTGAGCTAGTGAGTTCCAGGCCAGCCTGGGATACACAGTAAGACCTGCCACAATCAAATAAACAGATCTGGCCAGGTATGATGATGTAGACCTTCCATGTCAGTGACTTGGGAGATTGAGTCAGGAGGTCACAAGTTCAAGATATGCCTGAGCTATGTGGAGAGTTGAAAGTCAGCCTGGACAAACTGAAATACTGTCTCAGGAGAATTTAGTTAACTAATTAATTAAATTAAATATTCCAGAGAGCCAGGTATAGTGATGCATGCCTGTACCCACAGCACTTAAGAGGCTGAGGCTGGAGGATAATGAGTTTGAGGGCAACCTGGACAATTTAGGAAGAATATCTCAAAAGAAATGCAAAAAATGCTGGGTGGTAGTGGTGCGTGCCTTTAATCCCAGCACTTGGGAGCAGAGGCAGGCAGACTTCTTTGAGTTCAAGGCCAACCTGGTCTACAAAGTGAGTTCCAGGATGGCCAGGACTGTTACAGAGAGAAACCCTGTCTCAAGAAAAAGAAAAAGAAAAAAAATAGAAAGAAAGAAAGGAAAGGAAAGGAAAAAAAACAAAAAGACTGATAGTGGAGCATGTCTTTAATCCCAGCACTTGAAAGGCAGAGGCAGATGGATCTCTGTGAGTTCAAGTACAGCCTGCTCTACAGAGTGAGTTCCAGGACAGCCAGGGCTACACAGAGGAAAGAAAAAAAAAAACCCAAACCACATAAGCAGACAAATAAACAAACAAAAACAACAACAACAAAACAAATGAAAACAGAACAAACAAAAAACAAAACAAAACCCAGAAACCAAAAAATGACCCCCCTACAAAACACAAGCAACAAACAAAATAAAACTCTTGAGTCGGGCTGTGGTGACGCTCGCCTTTAATCCCTGCACTGGGGAGGCAGAGGCAGGTGGATCTCTGTGAGTCTAAGGCCAGCCTGGTCTACAAGAGCTAATTCCACGTCAACTAGGATTGTTATACAGAGAAACCCTGTCTTAAAAAACAAAAACAAAAAACAAAAACAAAAAAATAGAACTCTTGAAAAATTAAAACGAAAAGTACATATGTGTGCTAGAGAGGTTTTGAGACTCTCAGAAAGCACAAATGCCCCAATGAGAACATATGTGTGCTAGAGAGGTTTTGAGACTCTCAGAAAGCACAAATGCACTAATGAGAACCCATTTATGCTTTTCTTCATAGGATAATAAGTTATAAAACAAAGCACAGGTCAACTCCATTTTTGCTATCATTTACATATTGAAATTTTTTAAAATGTGCATTTGTTTTTCTGCATGTATGTCTCTTTGCACATCTATGTAGGCCCATTATCACCATTTAACCACATTGCTGTCCCTTAAAACCCACCAAGAACCAGTGTGCGTTCAACCCCCACCCTCACAGCTCCTCAAATATCCTAGTTAAGGCAGAAGCCCTTATATGGCTGGGCTGGGAGATGGCTCAGCAGATAATGATACTGGCTGCCCAGCCTGACAACTTTAGTGTGATCCCGCCCCTGGAAGGAGAGAACTGACTCCCACACATACGATTAGTACAATTAGCCTCTAACCTCCAGATGGAGCCCATGTGCAGGTGAGATATATATATATATATATATATATATATATATATATATATATATATATATGTTTGTGGCTCATATTTCCAGATTCAGAATTCAGGAGGCAGAGTTGGGCAGATCTCAGTGGATTTCAGGCTAGCCAGGGGTACACAGTGAGAATCTGTGTCCAAAAAATGGAAATTTGGTTTTTTTCTTTTAAGGAAAATTTAGCCGGGCTGTGGTGGCGCACGCTTTTAATCCCATCACTCGGGAGGCAGAGACAGGCAGATCTCTGTGAATTCGAGGCCAGCCTGGTCTAAAAGAGCTAGTTCTGGGACAGAATCCAAAGCTACAGAGAAACCCTGTCTCAAAAAAAAAAAAAATTAAGACACTTGCTGTTGCAGAGGACCCAGGTTCAATTCCCAGCATCCACAACCACATTCATATACTTAGTTCCAGGAAATCCAACACCCTCTTCTGCTTTCTTCAGGCATTCTCATGCATGTAGCAAGCACACATGCACACACATACACACGCTCACTCACACATGCAGGCACACTCTCAACTCACTCACACGCACACACACACAGGCACACACATACACACATGCACACACACACAGGCACACACATACACACACACACACTCACATGCACACACAACACACTCTCACACACGCACACACTCACACACACATACCTCTCTTCATAAATGACACATGTCCTTACATGTCTTTGGGGAAACTCCTAAATAGCTGTTTCCTTTGCACTATTTGATTTTTCTTTCTCATGAGTCTGTGTTGCTTATGAAAAAAATCCAAACTCGCAGAAGATGACACAAGGATAATATTGTGCCCTTGATGACAGGTCCTGGGCACTGCACTCGCTTTTTCTTAGTTTATTTTATCCAAGAGCTTGTGAAGTCCGACACGCACTAGTGATCAGAACGATACTTCTCAGATTACTGGCAGGGAAACTGAGTCATGGAGACACAGTCACTGGGCACGGACACGAAGTGTCAATATTCCATCTGGTCTGCAGATGCCAGGCCACTCTCTGGCTCCCATCCAGAGGGCTTCTGTGGATATCTCCAGGCTTACCCATGCTCTCTGGCTCAGGGGATTTAGGGTCAGTGGTGTGAACCTGGGCTGCAGGGATGGCAGTCACATTCGTTCTGTTAGA